CATTTAATTTGAAAAAAGAAAGAAGGTCTGCTGTTTGTGGATTCTTCCAAATGATAAGAAGGCAAAAGATACATACACAATTTTCTTCATAGTTTGGGAGGCTACAAATGGAATACATTCATTTAAAAATTAATTTAATGTGAATTCTTTTTCTACCTAATGTATACATTCCAGGCCAAAAGATTAAAACTGAATAGCTTTTTCTTCCCGGTAGATAGGGATGGGATGGTCTGTGAATTCCATGTAACTTCCAAATGCTGCTAGCCCGTCCTTCCACCTCTCCTCATCATGTCCCATGTTTTGAAATTTGATCTTTCAACTGGGCCTTAATTGTGGTCGGTGCTACTTCTGCTTTTCTGATGTTATGATTAGCAATTAAGGCTCATCTGTGAGCTGAGCCCTTTAGATCAAAGCAGAACCTTCTTTCATCATGGCTTTGGCCCCTTGTGCCAACTTCATTTTAGTGCAGCATCATTGCTCAGCCCCTCTGTATGCTTTGCAGCTCCCCTCCACCCCCTCAAAAGAACCCACCCTTGACTGATATCTCATTGCACTGTGCTTTGATCCAGAAGATCCACTCTTAAGGCTTATTAAGCTTCAGAGAACCTGCTGTGGTCAGATCAAAGCTGAGCCCTTTACAAAAGAGTGACTGCATTTCAGGATGTTGACTGTTTCACAAGTTGGTTAAGATGAACTGCTTAGTAGGAGCTGCAAGGTAGCTGAAGTCCAAGGTCTTTCAAGAGTAACTTGTATACGCCGTAGGTCTAATTCTGCTGGTGCTCAGCCTGTGCTCCCTTCAGAAAGAAGCGTACTCACACCCCTGCCTTGACCTGCATTTAGAAATAAAATCCTTACCCCAACGCATTTGTTATGGCCCTTTCTATAGCTGCCTTGAATTAGGATGGGGGACTTTCCCCTTTGCGGACCTTTTGGACTACAAGTCACAGAAGCCCTTGCAAGCATGGCCAAGGGAATAATATAGTCCCTAACATCTGGAGGAATGTCAGTTCCCCAGCTCTGACTTAAATAATGAAGATGGGCTTACGTTTACAGGCATATATCCAAATGTTTTTTACTTTACTCATTTAGTTGAAGGGGGAGAGGGGGTCAAGAATAACCTGCTTTTCAGTAAAAAAAAATTTTGTCATAGCTTAGGAATGTCAATAAAATAATGATAGCATAAGGTTAAAATCCAAAGAAACTGTGAAAATGACTAAATAACCATTTCAAACAACTACAGAAAGCAGCAATTGAAGCTTTGGTATTCTGCAAATTAAAATTAATCTCTTTTTAAAATGTTAAAAAAAAACTTTTCTGGATTGGTATAAAGAGACCATAAGTGGTCCCCATTTTGGACTGGAGGGGCAGATTGCCCCCACTTTTGCATCCCTTCATTGGCCACCAGAAGATAGTAGGCAACATGACAGTATCATCTGACTTCACTGGCCATTATTAAGCTGCCAGATAGCTGTTGAAGATGAGAAACAGCAGGGATGGGAAAGACTTGGCCTTCCATGTGTTTTTGGAACTATCATGCTGGATAGCTCAGTGGTTTAGCTCTGTCGTTCTAAGATGATGATGATGATGATGATGATGATGATGATGATGATGATGATGATGATGACGATGACGACGACGACGACTCACCATTGGCTCTATTGGCAAGAGGCAATGGGAGTTACAGGCCAGCTACATCTGGAGGGACACCTAACACACAGCCCTGGATAAAGCCGCTGTGTTCATGGCGTCCTGTGGTTGTCTCATAAACATCTGGCTGGCTGCTCTAGGGATAAAATACTGTACTAACCTAACATACTTTTTTCCTGCAGTTCATTTGTCTTATATCACACCTTTGTCCCAGTGCTGAAACTCAGGGCAGTTCAGCTTCAGATAAAAGCAGGCATAAATAAGAAAAGGTGAAAAGTTATATAATGTGGCAACAGTTCAAAGAATTAGAATATTCAAGTGACTGAATTAACAAACAATAAAGTATTGAATTAAGAGACATATCATTATGAAAAAGTACAGCACCAATCCATTAAAAGCTATCCCTTTTTCAGCAGGTAGTTGCTGAAAGATCTGTCTAACTAAAAGAATCTTTGTGGAAGTGGAAGGAGAAGAGGGAGGATGCAAGCTTAACCCTCCTTAGACAAGGATTGTACAAATACGGAGCCTGTCCACGCTGGCATATAGTTATGGTCTATGGTTCTCTGATGACACTCTTTGGCATGGGAAAAAAAGACCTCATCTGCTTGTCTTTCTACTGAAACGATCCATCCTTCCCCTTTAAGAGCTGGCCCGTATCTTTCTGGATAAGGGCTAGGGCATGCAATCTTTTTGGAGTGATTCATTGAGATGCAAAATGGCTCTTTTTCTGCTTTTGGTACTTGAATTAAAATGGATTGCACTGAAAATCAGGACCTTTTAAGCACCGACTGGCTCGCATCAAATTTCACAGTGTGGACAGGCCCTTAGTTCTTGTCCTCTGATGCTTCCCTATAAGTACATTCGTATATGTATTCTGTACATCGAGCTCTCCCTCTGTTTCACCAAGTGCTGTGTCTTGACTCAAAATCTATAGGAGGACACATCAAATCGGATTTGCCCTTTTCTTTCAATTGGGAAGTCTCTGAATCCCCCTTAAGTGCTGCTGTTTTCCGCTTCATTTAGAAGTTCTAAGCTCTGTCAATTGCTCCTTCTAGCGCAGCTGAAGAAATGCCTCCCTTTTTTCCCATCGTGATATACTTTCATCGTGTGTCTTTGGAGGAAAAAGCTCTTAGAGCCGGCATGAAACTAAGCATGAAGAAAGAGCTTTGAAACCAGGGAGATCCCTTTTGTGTCTGTTGCGGATCCAGCAACCCTCAGAAGCCATTCAGCCTTGGTGCACCTAAGAAATATCCCTCAACCTTACCTGCATCCAGCTGGGGATCTCTTTGCTAAGAAGATTACATGTTTTGGCAATTATAGAATGGAAGGGGTTAATATCCATTTTGTTCCGTCTGTGTTTTGTATTACCTTCTGCCAGGGCATGTAATTTTCTCTCTCCTGAAATGCAAATTAAACACAATGTATATGGGCCAATCAGAGATTTTCTGCTAGTGTAAAAGCAGCTTCAGGGGACCTCCTTTTATCAGAAACACAGCAGGATTGAAAAGAGTAACGAAAGTTTTTTGCCTGTTGGAATCCTGGCGGTTACTGTTCCAGTTTGCCTGTTGGTTCAATACATTTCAAGCCAAATGAACATCTGCCTTCCACTACATTACGTATTTACTTTGACACTGGGTTGTGGTGGCAAGCTTAAACCAAAGTTTTTTTTAGAAATTGGCTATGCTGCTTAAGGGAATGTGAGAGTAACTGTCTAAAAAAAGTTTTCCAAATCTTGGCTTCCACGTAGCTAAACAAAAAAATGAGGAATACGTGGCTGCCCCAAGAATACTGCAGTCTGACATCCCAGCATAAAGCAAGCCAAGCTGGTTTGTACTGGGGTGTTGGCCTGCAGTATCTCTGGCCTGAAATACATGATTCAGACCGACTCATGAAAAGGACCTTGATTATGAGGAGTCTTTGAGTGAGTTTGGCCTGCAAGCAATTGCTGGTGATACACACATGGAGTCAGTTGATGTACTTTGGCCACCAGATGTTCTTGGACTACAACTCCCTGAAGCCTTCACTGCCACCTCTGCTGGCCAGGATTTCTGGGAGTTGAAGTCCAAGAACATCTGGAGGTCCAAAGGTTGAGAAGCACTGCTATAGAGAACTTGATTCCATGGGTCTATTCAGGGTGGGAATTGGATTTAAGAGGGAAGGGGGTACGCTGGAAGCAGGCTCTGCTTTGCATGGCTGCCAACCTTCCTTCTGACTCTAGAGGCTGTGTGAAGAGCTGAGAAGTGTCTCAGCCTCCTCTTCCCACTCCAAAACAAGGCTTTCACTTACTCATTCATTCATTCATTCATTCATTCATTCATTCATTCATTCATTCATTCATTCATTCATTCATTCATTCATTCATTCATTCATTCATTCCTATGCTGCCTTACAACAGATAAAACAGCAGACTTAAAAACCCTATAAAATTGTCATATAAAAAAATATAAAGCATATATTAAGATGTCAGCCGACACAGCCAGCAGGGACGGCTGAGGGGCCTGATGCCGAGGGAGGCCCGGAAGGAAAAAACAAGAAACCAGGCCTTCTCGGCGGTGGCCCCTCGGCTGTGGAACACTCTCCCTACTGAAATTCGGCTGGCACCCTCGCTGGGCGTTTTCAAAAGCCAGTTAAAAACTTGGTTATTTAAACAGGCCTTCCCTCCAGCCAATTAAGTGATCTTTTTTCCTCCCTCTTCTTGAGTCCTGCCATCTTGGAAATGTGTTGTTTAAAATTAATTGTAAGAATTGTATTTTCATATATGTTTTTTGATGTGCTTTAACCTATGTAAGCCGCCCCGAGTAGACGCTGTCTAGAGGGGCGGGGTAAAAAATCAAATAAATAAATAAGTAAATAAGTAAGTAAATAAATAAATAAAGATAGATTAAAAATCAATTTTAAAAACCATTCAAAAACATTTTAAAACCTGAAAGTTAAACACCAACCTTGCTGAGAGAACTTACTACTTAAAAGCCTGCCTAAAGAGAGAGGTCTTTGCCAGACGATGGAAAAACAAGCGGGAGGAGGTGAACCTCTTCAGGCAGTGCCTTCCAAAGCTGGGGAGCAGCCACTGAGAAGGCCTTCTCTCGTGTCCTCACCAAATGAGATTATCAGAGGGTGACACCCACAAAACCCAGTCCTGAGATCCAGAATCTTGTATACTTGTCTTTAAGTCCCTTCGTGCAGCTTTCTTTTTTCAAGCTCTTGTGTTTTGAGAAGCTCCAGATGGTTATTCAAAGAGGACCTCTACTGCAGAGGACATGACATGTAACTTTACTCAGACCACCCCTGACAGTAGGAGTACCCCCACCTTGAAGCTCCATTCTTATAGCTTCCCTTGGTTTTGTTTTGGCTAGGTGAACACCGCCATGCACGAGGCCAAGCTGATGGAAGAGTGTGACGAGCTGATGGAGATCATCCGTCAGCGCAAGCAAGTGATTGCTGTCAAGATCAAAGAGACAAAGGTAGGATCCCAGTGCTCACTGGGAGATACGTATGGCCCCAAAAGGTCACTTTTCAGAGCTCTGCCCTTTCCGGCATGGTGGGAGGACTTTTCTGTTTCTGTGTCATGAGTGAAAACTGGTAGTCCATGTAATTATTTTAGCATGTGGGTGTTTTTAATGGTTATCCATCCCTTGGAGGCATGGCAGAATCTGAGCCTGAGTGTCTTGTGTTGTAATCTGAGTAAGACATTATCATCCACACTAGCTTGGTGGCTAGAGACACAGAAGGTTAGGCTGGAATAATTAGCATATTGATACCTGTGCTAGGCTCCTGTGATAGGGTGGGACACTAGCTTGGTGGCTAGAGACACAGAAGCTAAGGCTGGAATAATAAGCATATTGGTACCTGTGGTAGGCTGTTGTGATAGGGTGGGCTGCAATTAAGAGAGAGAGAGAGAGAGAGAGAGAGAGAGAGGGCGTATACATAATACAGTGGTTATACAGTGGTGCCTCGCATTACGACATTAATTCATTCCAGCGAAATCGCTGTAGAACGAAAACGTAATGCAGGGGGAAAAGCCTATTGAAATGCATTAAAACCCGTTTAATGCATTCCAATGGGCTGGAAACTCACTGTCTAGCAAAGAGCTTCCATAGGGCGGCCATTTTCGCTGCCTGTGCAGTGAGGAATCCATCCCAGAAAACAGCGCGGAGCCATTTTGTTTACCCGGTGGCCATTTTGAAACCGCCAATCAGCTGTTTTAAAATCATCATTTTGCGAAGAATCTGTTCCCGAAGCAGGGAACCGATCATCGCAAAGCGGAAAAAACTCATTCAGACCATCGTTTTACGATTGCAATTGTGATCACAAAAAGATCATCGTAATGCAGTTTCGTCGTAAAGCGAGGCAATCGTAAAGTGAGGCACGACTGTAATTGGGTAGGAGGCAATCGTAAAGTGAGGCATGACTGTAATTGGGTAAATAGTCACTATGGCTGCCGAGCTGAGAAAAGTTCACATTTTTGGACCACAGCTCCTATAGTGTCTGCAAAGCTGAGAAATTCTTAGTCCTCATAAGCAGCTTTTCCAGACTCGGTGTAGCATGCTGTCTCATCACGGAGGGCTCAGAACTCTGTGTAACTTTGCTTAGATTATATGTTCCCAGTTTCCTTAGACTAGACTAGGTGTCCCCCTCTGGAAGGTGAAAGAACTAGTGATGGGTTTTGCAGGATTGTCATGAGATCAAACGGCATGAGAAGTACAAAGTAGGGGTTCAGATAGCACCATTAGAGTCATGCATTGCATTGAGGTGATCTGGGAGTGAAGAATGCTGGCCAAAGCCACCCAAACACCACTATCACCCTTACAGAAAGCTGTGATTGCAAAGTGTGGTTGGAAAATATAAATAGTTTGTATTCCTAAACATACTGTATTTTAGGAGGAGCAGAGGCCCCCTGAATAAAGTAGGATTTGCTACCAAGTAGATATGCATAAGAGTGCATGGTTGCGCAACATGAGGAACTCTTCCTGAACATGGCAGAACAGACCTGGGCAAAGTGCGGCCCAAGGGCCACATACGGCCCACAAGCCGCTCCTGTCCGACCCGCCGGTTGTCGCTCCAGTCAGGGGGTTCAAGCACTTTTCAAGCCCAAGACAGACTGGATTTCTCTCACTGAACAAGTTGAACATCAAAACCATTTATAGCTTTTTGTCTAAAGTTGATCAGTTGCTTATCTTTAACATACAGCAAAAAAACCTCTTTAGTATTTGTGAAGATTAACAAGTTTAAAATAGAAACAACCATAACATCACTGTTTCGTTTTGTTTTTAAGTAAAGTTGGTTCGGCCTCCGAACACAGTTCAGATTTTTCATGTGCCCCCCCCCCATAGAAATTAATTGCTCACCCCTGTGGTAGAACTTACTTGTGAGATTTTTTTTTAAAAAAAATCAAGCTGTATACGTTCCAAATGCAAAATTGGAACACATTCTAACTTGAACCTTGGATATTTGGACCCGCCTTGATGAAGACTGAAGCTAGGGATATGGGTATAACAAGAGTGAGTCTGCTTCAGTGGATTGTGCAAAAACAGCCAAATTGGTTTTGCAGGCAGAAGTGAATGTAAGAAGTCCCTGTGCCATATACAAAAATCCGATTGTTTCATAAGTAAAGAATTTAGTTTCCTGAGCACCTCAACTTTCATTTTATATAACGGAATAACAGAAAGTCCCCCCTATACTAAGGACCATGTGCATAACAATTTATTCAGGTTGCAAAATTCATTTTCCCCTTTCCCCCTCCTGCTTGGTGCAGCATCATTTTTCCCCTGGCTGGGAACACACATCCCTAAATAGCATTTGTGCTGAAGCTCAGTCATGCGGTGGTGGTTTTAAAAAAAAAAAGGTAGTTGCTGGAGAGGAGGAGTAAACTGTTGCTTGGCTCTGAGATGGGACTGGCAGCTGATTGAGCCTCTAAGCATGGCATGAATTCCTTTATTGGCTGAACATCATTCAGATGTCAATTGCTCTGATTTGCAGATTCCCACAATGGCAAAACAGAGCTGTTTTCTTAGGCACGACCCTACCTGAGTTGTAGTCCTTGCAGGGCCTTGTTCGGTGAGCAGCAACCACTGGGTGGCCCACCCTTCGCCTCTTTGCTGTGCCAGGGGTTCACAGCGCCCACTCTTCCCTTCCTCTAATCACTTTCTAGTTAAGTGTAGGCTGAACAAATCATCCATCAGCCCATTAACTCCCAGCAGGAGAGTCACTTCCTTGTGCAAACAGCCATTTGAAGTTTGGTCTGCCTGCTGCTAGCTGGAACTAACCTCTCTCTTGCTTGCTTCTTTGGCTTTAGTTTTCATATTTCCCCATAATGACGAGTGAGGCCGGGCAGGGAAAGATTGACAGAATCCACTCCAGTGAGCAGAGTTGCCAGCCGGTAGGAGAGAAGGGTGCAAATTGCTTTTCACAGCTGCATTTGACTCGCTTCCGTTTCTGTCCCCTGCTCCCTCCGCCTGCTTGTTCCTGGTTACAGAGTGCTGGAATAATTCTTCTGCTCCAGAGATGCCCTTTTCCCTTCCCTTCCTGGGGTTTGTACCCTAAATGCCTACTGAGACGTAAAGGGACAGGTTGTTGCATGCAAAAGATTCCAAATCCGAGCTATAAAATCTGTGGTTGTTCTGGGTTTTTCGGGCTCTTTGGCTGTGTTCTGAAGGTTGTTCTTCCTAACGTTTCGCCTGTCTCTGTGGCCGGCATCTTCAGAGGACAGCAACCTGTACTCTGGTGTAGTTGGCTTGGGAGTGCAGCATTTATGGCTGTGAGATAGGCTTTTGTCTTCTCCTGTAGATGGGTGATTAGTGTGTATTGTTGTGGGTGTATTGTTGTGCTAAGGGGAAGAGATTATCTGTTCCTGTGGTTGATGGGTGTCATTAGCTGGTCTTTTGTGTGTAGTGATCCCCTGTCCTTGTGGGTGGGTGGGTAGAGTTCATTGACCTTTTGCTCGTAGGAACAGACTCCGCCTGCTTGTTCCTGGTTACAGAGTGCTGGAATAATTCTTCTGCTCCAGAGATGCCCTTTTCCCTTCCCTTCCTGGGGTTTGTACCCTAAATGCCTACTGAGACGTAAAGGGACAGGTTGTTGCATGCAAAAGATTCCAAATCCGAGCCATAAAATCTGTGTTGGTCATGAGACCAATCCCCAAATCGTGTTACGGTGGTACTTTATTAAGGCCAAATAAGCCCGGCCGTGAAAGCCTTTGCAAATATAAAATCTGTGTTGGCCATGAGACCAATCCCCAAATTGTGTTGCGGTGGTACTTTATTAAGGCCAAATAAACAGAATGGTCCAAAAATCAATCTGTCTGTCTGTCTGTCTCTCTCTCTCTCTCTGTCTCTCTCTGTCCGTGTGTGTATATAAAAAGGTGGGATTGTTAAAGCGCAGTGTTCTGCACGATCTCTCAAGAAAGAATGAAGACTGTCTGTCTCTCTCGCTCTCTCTCTCTCTGTGCGTGTGTGTATATAAAAAGGCGGGATTGTTAAAGTACAGTGTTCTGCATGATCTCTCAAGGAGGAATGAAGGAATTAGCCATGTTCAGATGTTACACAAACAGGTGCTATGAACAAGCTTAGAGGCCTGTGCCTAATCTGGCCCCATCTGTCATTAACATTCTTCACAGCTTCAGCACTGGGGCTGAAGGGAAGAAAGATCTTGCTTTACAGATGCGCGAGATCCCAGATTTTCCAAGTTTCTTGCTCCTGTGTACGGCCTGCACAAGAGCAGAAACCTCTTCAAATTCCACGAGGAAGCCATGAATAAATAACGCAGCAGTGGAGAAGGGGCGCAGCAAAGCGCTCCCTTCTAAGCACATTCATAGCGCTGGATTTGGTAATGCCTGAATAGGGCTGAAGTTGCAGATAGTGTGGAGTAAGTGTGGCTCATTGAATGTTAGGCTTTCACTCTGTATGATGATGCTGAAGTGGACAGATTTGCTCATCCACATCCATGGCTTTGAGTGCTTACCTCTGACATCCAGGGTTAAGCCGCCGTATATTAGACTATGGTGGGGCTGAATGGGACTTGCCCTCATTTTTTTTCCTGACCGCTTCTTCCTTTCTACCTCTGTAAAGGAGGCAGGTCTGAGATGGCCCTGCCCAAGCTGGGGAGAGGGATCGCTGTGCTGGGGACCAGAGTAAAAGAGGGAGATTTTGGGTTTAAGACAATACCAGAATTCCTGGCTTTTTAAAATATATATATATATCCAGGATGGAAAGAACTTGCAGTTATTTTTAAAAAACTGAATGCTAGGAAAAGCAAAACGAACAGATTTTCATAATCTCGCCTCCCTGTCTCATTTTAGGTCTTAAGCTGCTAGACACCAACACATGAGTGTTAATCTTCCCAAAAACATACGAATATACCTTAGGTCACTTTGTCCATAGATGCCAGGGTTACCTGTGATTCATAGGCAGAGCTCTTTCCCACTTGTTTACAATTAGGTCTCCTTTTAATTGGAACTGACTGATGA